GAGTAGAAAATGAAGGCTAATCATGTTTTGGGTGTACTATTCCTTTAAGATCCTCCCTGGCCTCCTCCTCCAGCAGGATCTCTGCCGGGACTGACCTGCCCTCCACTCTCTCCATCTCTCCGGAGTCCCTGCTCATGATACTCCCACCGCTATGCTTCCCTGAACAGGTGGACCGCTCAGAGACTACAATGGTTTTGGGACGAACCAAATGTGAAATGATTGCTGTTTTCTCTCCATAAAGGCAAAGTTTAAAGTTCTCCACAGTGAACCTGTGTGTTCAACAGGGGGAACCCTGAGCGACAGGGCGTCTCGAGTCAGAGGCTGGAACACAGACCTCTACAGGAGCAGCTTTCTGCCCACAGCCATCAACATCTCCAGCTGCTCAGAGGAAACCTGGATAGCAGGAGTTACTGAAACTTTACTCTTAGGATGAGTGAATCGTTTTGAACTGATTTACTTTTTTGTCTGTTTTATTAGAGCCGCAGTGAAGGCAGCTGAAAGCAAAGGGAAGCTCTTCTCCTTTCAACATCATAGTTATGCTTAGAAAAAAACATTAAATCCCCAAAAACACACATTGAAGTATTTGACACGTGGAAATGCAAAAAAAAAAGGTGAAAGGTTATGGAAACATTTTCAAGGCACTGGATGCATATTAATCAACTTTAAATGTCCATAAACATGTTTACAGATCAAACATTTCTATGTGTGACTGATGGAAGCATCTATGTGCAGAAAGAAGCAGCAGCAGATGAGCTAACATCAGCAGAGTAAAGGCTGGACGGTGGGAGCAGCAGTTTGCTGAAACAGAAGGCAAACAAAGCGCAGAGCAGACATACTTGAGTTCAGGGGTGTGGGCCGCCATGAGGGAGCGAAGGCTCTTATCAGCGAGAGGACACCCAGACAGACTGAGAGAAACAAGGAGAAAGAGGCGAGGAGGGAAGCCGAGGAGAAGAAGGACGTGAGTGAAGAGAAACAGCAAGATCATTCAGGAATAAGATAGAAAGATCAATTATAGATGGACATTAAAGTCATTCACTGGCTTTACTGTAACATTCACATCAGGATCTACCTTCACAATATCTAACCTCAGAGGATCTACCTTCACAATATCTAACCTCAGAGGATCTAATTTCAGAAGATCTAACCTCTGAGGATCTAACTTCACAATATCTAACCTCAGAGGATCTAATCTCAGAGGATCTAACCTCTGAGGATCTAACCACTGAGGATCTAACCTCTGAGGATCTAACCACTGAGGATCTAACCTCAGAGGATCTAACCTCTGAGGATCTAGCCTCTGCGGATCTAACCTTTGATGATCTAGCCTTTGATGATCTAGCCTCTGAGGATCTAGCCTCTAATAATCTCTAACTTTGCGATGAGCAGCAGGCGTTGGAGCGTACCTGCGATGGGAGGCGTAGTTTCCTGTGATATGGCCGCTGCCGTCACAGCCAGGTGTGGGGCACCTGTAGGGGGGGGGGAAGGGGTGCAAAGACAGAGAATTTAAAATAAAAAGTAGAACAGGAAGTAAATTGGTCCTAAAAGCTGAGATTTCCCTCAACAGTTAAAGCTTCATATGTTCCAATATATTCTGAAGTTATTAGAAAACAGAATAAAATGTTCAAAATGCTGAAACTAAACAATTTAACTAGAAGTTCATTAATTATTATGACGCTTTTATACAGACTTTATTAGAAAATAAGAGTTAGTAAAAGTTCTGATAAATGTCAGCATATTTTGATGCTGCTTTTAAGAGCGATCTGGTCCATTAAGGCAGGAGAAACATTTTCATCTTTAACATTTCATTATGATTTTAGTTTCATGCATGAAGATTTGTAATTTTCTGACTCTTTTAATTGTGGATAAAAGCCTGAATTAAAGAAACAATAAAGATGTCAGGATCTCCATCACTCGATGTGATGATAATTGAGAATCAAACATGTTCTTGGTTTGATTTATTTGATGGGAAAGTTAGTTTAGATTTAATAAATAGTTTCATAAGTCAGGATGTTTTAATCTGCAACAGGATTCGGTTTCTGAGAGTAAAATCAGTTAAATTGGGCAGAAATAACCAAATGGGATTGAAAAGCAAACAGTAGAAGCAAAGTGTTTCTGGGATGCTAACCAGCTAACCGTGTTTAAACCTCCGCAGCCACACTTACGAGAGCAGCTCCTTCTTGCTGTCCTTGGGCTGAAACTTGACCTTGAAGCTGGGAGTTGTGACCTCTCCTGGGTACTTCCTGTCCTCCAGACAGTCCTGCAGCCCGTCGCAGTCCTCCTGGTCGGAGGAGACGTACGAGTGGCCCGTGTGCTCCATCTGAAAACAGACGCACTGCTTAGGTTTGTTTGCAGAACAGAAATCACTGCATAGATGGAAAAAAGAAAAACAAAACTTCACATACTCCCCCCCCCCTCCCTTATTCTTCTGTAGACTTGATGTTTCCAAATGCAAAGTGTCCTCATAAAAAATTAACATCCAAGGCCTTTATATTTCTTTTGAAAAAGTTCAAAGCAGTGAAAATTAGCATATGCCAAATCCTGGATGGTGCAATGCACCTGACACACCACCTCTGCTATGTTTCAGCTGCTGGTAACTCTTGCATTTCACTCAAAGAAAGGAATAATAGAAAGAGGAAGCAAGAAAAGGCGATTAGACAAAGAAAGTGATGTAAACAAGAAGTTTTCATTGAAAAGGCTTAAGGGTTTTTTAGTGTGTGGGTATTTATGCTGCAGCAGCTCCTCAGTGACTCCAGCAGCAGGAAAGGAAAGGCTCCTGTCTGATTGCACTGACCTCGTCTGCTTCCTCCTCCCTCTGGCGGTTGGGTTTGGTGAAATCCAGCGGCCCCTCCCACTCTTCCTGTTTGTACGTTTGAAGGTTTGGGGACGTCATTCCACTGTTTCCCCCGTGGTGGAAGGAGGAGGAGGAGGAGGATGAAGATGGGTCTGGGGAGCGCACCCCGGGGCTGGTGCCAGACACGCTGCCCTCCCGTTTGATGGGCTTCTTCATGCTCAGGTCCAACGTGCCGTTCTCATCCACCTCGATGTCCATTTCCTGTGTGGAAACATAGCAGTTCTGCTGAACCCCCAAACAAACCAACTCTGGATGTTTTAGGTCTATAACGGCCCATCAAGGTGGCAGAACCTCAAAACCTTCTGATTACGCTGGGATCTGTAATCTGTAATCTGTAGCTGAAGCATCTGTTATAATTAAAGATGAAACTAATGATTCTGGCTGCCAATCAGATTGATGGATTCCTTTCTAAGCGTCAAATTGTGTCAAAAAACAGGAAGTTAAGTTAAAGTTTTAGTAAACTGACTTATTAAAACATCTCACCCTTCTTAGGCAGAACAGATTTGTTTCCTTTCATAAAAAAGAGAGAAAAAGGAAAGATATGTTGCATTTTAATATGAGCAAAAAAGAAAAAATTTAAAAGAGTTCAATCAATTAATTAATCAATTTCTTTATTTTCAACCACAATTTACATTGTAATCGAGATTTCAGTTTCAGTACAATCCGTTCATCGGGGAACGATTTACCGCGGCCATGCGTCCCGCAGAACGCCGCCTTTGGCGCGTTCCTACGGCTGCCAAGGGCCCCACCATGAGGCGCTTCCCTATAGCGCTGACGTCGAAGATTGGTTTATTGATATGAGGCATTTTAATATGAGCAAAAAAGAAAAAATTTAAAAGAGTTCAATCAATTAATTAATCAATTTCTTTATTTTCAACCACAATTTACATTGTAATCGAGATTTCAGTTTCAGTACAATCCGTTCATCGGGGAACGATTTACAGCAGCCATGCGAGCCGCAGAACGCCGCCTTTGGCGCGTTCCTACGGCTGCCAAGGGCCCCACCATGAGGCG